GTAAACCATTTGAGTGCCACGCGTTAGATCCACTTCCATAGATGCGAAAGTAGCTTGATCTCCAGTCCACCTTGTATCTCGGAGTACTAGAACGGCCATGTTTCCTTGCTCAGTTCTATGCAAGACTTGGAATCTAACTTGCACAACACCAAGATGAACATACTGCATATGGCTCCGTTGCAGTTCTTCAAAACTTTCCGGTTGTATGAATGGCCTCTCAATCTGTGTGTCTCCTACACATAGTATGGCTTCTTCAGATCTATGAATATAGACCCTATGATGAGCATCATCTCTCCTTGTGCGATATAACACTTCAGCTGGTGCTATACTTGCTCAATCCGCCATGGAAAGTTGTAGTTGTGTCTCTGGTGCTATCTCCTGTTCCAAAGTGTGTGATGTTGAGGATCGTCCTCGTATTCTTTGGAATACATCCCGTGTTCTTCGTTGGAGAATATGGTTCCTTCGTTGATCTCTTCTATACGTCCTGATTTGATCTTCAAACAAAGGTGCTCCAGGTGTTGCTGTTGTTGCTGGTGGTCGGTCTGTTACCTTTGGAAGAGTAACTGTATGAGTTCGTGAGCCAGACGCCATTAGATATTCTTCAGCTTATCTAATTCGTCTTGTAGCAACTTGTTTGGATTCCTGTGAACTCTAAGCAACCCTCTTGGCTCCTTTGGTCGCTCCTTTGGTCCAAGTGAAAGATTCTCTAGCTTAGTGATTAGTGCTTCAGGAATCACTTCAGCTTTCGTCTTCTGAGCTTCCAAAGCTCTGATTCTTGCTTCTAATGCCTGCACCTGTTGTGACAGTTGAACACACAATTCAATTATAGTGTTATTCTGTCGAATAAGGGTTTTGAATCCTATAGGAGTAGTGATGTTTGCAGCAGTTGTTGTAAGACCGATGCCTGGTGCTTCTGTTAACTCCGATAACTTGAGGGCCTTTTGATAGACCAAATCGTCTTGGGTCATTCGATTAGTGCTCCCTTGATCTGTTGAAGGAGTGCTTCTATCGGTTTCAGCTGGGCCTTAGTTGAGCTGGTAGTTTGATTTTCAAGACAAACCTGAGTCAAGGAATTGATTCCCTGTTCAAGTCTTTAATAATTATCAAAGATATACTTAGAACTCACCTTTTTGAAGGGCTTACTGCGGCCACCTGCCTTGTTGCCTTCTTACGTCTTTTGTTCTTCAATATCACAAGACAATTATCAAACCTTAAGGTAAATATAGGTAAAGTTTTAGCATTAATCTCTCTCTTTGCCTTTGTAATAAATTAATACTTTTGCCTTGAAGACAGGTTCACCTATGACCATGGAATCAGTGGAGATGAATATGCAGAAATTCAGGCCTTGCTATCCAATGAAGAAGAAGACGCCATGGGGCAAGCCCGAACAGCTCTCCAACAGTTGGTCAAGATACAACAGCTCAAGCCCTTCCTCACCACAAAGATAGCATTTACAATGTTTTGACTTTTGTAAATACTTCCTTTTGTCGATTCGTACATGAGAAGAATGTGGCTTGCCTTTGTATGTTGTTGCTTTGCGAATGCTAAAGTTTGATTCTGCTTTATCTAAAGGTTGAATAATTGTGTAAAAGAATCTCACTTTTTCTAAAGTTTGATTCTGCTTTAGCTAAGCTTTTGTAAAAGTCGATTATTGAGAAAGGGATGTCATGTGTAAACCTTCTCTATAAAAGGCTGTGTCTAGTATTAGTTCAAGTATGAAAAGAAGTTAGAACAACTACATTTGATACTTGAAGTCTAGTCTGAAGTTGTTTGAAGTTCATCTGTAATAAAGTTTCCAGATAATATAAAGTTTCCGCTGTTTCTGTAAGTAAGGTTTCTATCTAGTTCTTTACTTAAGTTTTTTGAGATCCTGTCTTTGGTATCAGAGCTAGTTTGTACTATGTCAGCTTAAACTTAATTTCAAGGTAGCAAAGGCCTCTGGTGCTATCTCCTGTTCCAAAGTGTGTGATGTTGAGGATCGTCCTCGTATTCTTTGGAATACATCCCGTGTTCTTCGTTGGAGAATATGGTTCCACTGATTCCATGGTCATAGGTGAACCTGTCTTCAAGTCTCTGGAGGAGGGACTGATACTCTGCAGCATGGGGATGAACTGTTGGATCAATCCAACGGTTTGAAGGCTCTTAATCCTTTCTCCAAGATCTCCAAGCATTTTTGACCATAATTTTTCCGACAGTTTACATAGTACCTAATACTATGATGACCATCGGTGATTTCTTTAATCAACAGGAGTATATCAGATGGTGCGAGGCAGAAATGAAACGATTAAGAGAAGACTTGTGAATTGAAAGAAATTGACAACGAACTGTTTGATGTTGTCATGCTGATGCGCCTTTACCCGTGATATAATCTGTGAATGAAATCCATCTTGATCTCGAAGGCTTGTGTTCAGCGGTTTTGTTGAAGAAACTGATTATGGCCTGACAATCAGTTCTTAAGGTAATTGTTGACTTCAGAATTCTTTCAAATTCACTTTGCTAGAAAGACAGACTCTATCGTAAATTACAGAGATGTTATGAGCTAGTTCTTTAGTACTAGGCTTTTCAGTGTTGGCTAAATCAAGATAGTCTGAAGTTGTTTGAAGTTCATCTGTAATAAAGTTTCCAGATAATATAAAGTTTCCGCTGTTTCTGTAAGTAAGGTTTCTATCTAGTTCTTTACTTAAGTTTTTTGAGATCCTGTCTTCTTTGAGGGATGTTAATTGGTCCTTGTCCAGTTGCTGGGGGATATCCGGGGGGACCCATCATTGTATCCTGCGGGGGACTGTAATATAACTTGAGGGCCTTTTGATAGACCAAATCGAAGAAGCCTGCAGGGATCTTGAACGACTATCTTGTCGGGATGTTAAAGATATAATCAAATTTCCAACGGAAGATGGACGTCTGCTTTAAAGGAACAGAAGAATTCATTGCTGTTTATATTGACGACATTTTGGTATTCTCACCAGACGAGCAGACTCATGAGAAGCATATCCAGGCGATGATTGAGATTTGCAAAAAGAATGGACTGATCTTAAGTCCAACAAAGATGAAGATTGCTGCAATCCAAATAGATTTCTTGGGATCCACAATTGGACAGGGAGAAATCAGATTGCAAGCCCATATAATAACCAAGGTGGCCAATTTTCCTGAAGAAACCCTGAAGGAAACTAAGGGATTAAGGTCTTGGTTGGGCTTACTCAACTATGCACGCAGCTACATTAAAGATTTGGGCCGAATGTTAAGCCCACTTTACTCAAAAGTCAGCCCAAAAGGAGAAAGGAGGCTCAATTCTCAGGATTGGAGCTTAATCAAGGAAATCAAGAGACGAATCCAAACTCTACCTAATCTGTCAATACCACCTGAGAGATGCGTCATTATCCTTGAAACAGATGGCTGCATGGAAGGATGGGGAGGAATATGCAAATGGAAGAAGGCATTAAAGGATCCTCATTCAACTGAAAGAATTTGTGCTTATGCAAGTGGAAAATTTAATCCCATTAAATCCACGATAGACGCTGAGATCTATGCCTGCATAAATTCTCTTGAAGCTTTCAAGATATATTATCTTGATAAGGGACATCTGACCTTAAGAACTGATTGCCAGGCCATAATCAGTTTCTTCAATAAAACCGCTGAACACAAGCCTTCAAGATCCAGATGGATTTCATTCACAGATTATATCACAGGCTTAGGCATTGAAGTAACATTAGAACATATTAATGGTTCTGATAATACTTTAGCTGATGCTTTATCCAGACTTGTGGTGGTGGTTATCGCTGACAGCGGCTCGTGCTACGGCTTCAAGCTTGAGCTGTTGTATCTTGACCAACTGTTGGAGAGCTGTTCGGGCTTGTCCCATGGCGTCTTCTTCTTCATTGGATAGCAAGGCTTGAATTTCTGCATATTCATCTCCACTGATTCCATGGTCATAGGTGAACCTGTCTTCAAGTCTCTGGAGGAGGGACTGATACTCTGCAGCATGGGGATGAACTGTTGGATCAATCCAACGGTTTGAAGGCTCAGATTGTGACAGCCTGATTCGTTCTTCCCGTTGCATAGCAGGATAAGTTCTTCTATTTGGTTGAGACCTGCTAGAACCTCCATATTGTCCTGATCCTCCTCTGTAGGCCATTCTGAAAATGAACAAAGAGCAAACACAAGTCTGGATAAAGCATCAGCTAAAGTATTATCAGAACCATTAATATGTTCTAATGTTACTTCAATGCCTAAGCCCGTGATATAATCTGTGAATGAAATCCATCTTGATCTCGAAGGCTTGTGTTCAGCGGTTTTGTTGAAGAAACTGATTATGGCCTGACAATCAGTTCTTAAGGTCAAATGTCCTTTATCAAGATAATAAATCTTGAATGCTTCAAGAGAATTTATGCATGCATAGATTTCAGCATCTATCGTGGATTTAATGGGATTGAATTTTCCACTTGCATAAGCACAAATTCTTTCAGTTGAATGAGGATCCTTTAATGCCTTCTTCCATTTGCATATTCCTCCCCATCCTTCATCAAGATAATAAATCTCTACATGTTCCGAGAATCTGATCAAAGTTACTGGCTTGGTAAGGAGGGATATCGTGCACAAGTAAAGGTCACTCCAGAAATTTACCACTGCCAACATGAATGGAATCAACATGATCCATTACCACATGACAGAAGACCGGAGTGTACAACTTGCCGAAGGAATTTGGTTGCCCAGTCGAGAGCATTTTGTGGAAAATGTAATGCTCTAACTTGTGCGTTATGTGCCAACCAGACCATCGGTGATTTCTTTAATCATGTTCAAATTGTTTTGCAGACGCGAGGATATGAGAATTGGCAAGGTGGAGAAGCCAATTTGTTAATAACACGAGGATTGGTTGGACGCCTATCTAATACTCCGAACGTGGGTTTTGCCTACGAAATACAAGGTGTCACAGAATATCTTACCTCTCGTGGGGTACGAGCAATTCCGGGAGAAAGAATGGACTGATCTTAAGTCCAACAAAGATGAAGATTGCTGCAATCCAAATAGATTTCTTGGGATCCACAATTGGACAGGGAGAAATCAGATTGCAAGCCCATATAATAACCAAGGTGGCCAATTTTCCTGAAGAAACCCTGAAGGAAACTAAGGGATTAAGGTCTTGGTTGGGCTTACTCAACTATGCACGCAGCTACATTAAAGATTTGGGCCGAATGTTAAGCCCACTTTACTCAAAAGTCAGCCCAAAAGGAGAAAGGAGGCTCAATTCTCAGGATTGGAGCTTAATCAAGGAAATCAAGAGACGAATCCAAACTCTACCTAATCTGTCAATACCACCTGAGAGATGCGTCATTATCCTTGAAACAGATGGCTGCATGGAAGGATGGGGAGGAATATGCAAATGGAAGAAGGCATTAAAGGATCATGTTCCGAGAATCTGATCAAAGTTACTGGCTTGGTAAGGAGGGATATCGTGCACAAGTAAAGGTCACTCCAGAAATTTACCACGCAATTTCTTATTTGCCTTGGATTGTGAATTTATTCCGTTGAATTCCACCGTGTATGTATTTTCTTCAAGGGCTTCTGATGGGATGGATTCTGAATCTACGACACACGTTGTAGCTCCAGTATCAAGGATAGCATTTAGGACAATCTAAGCTAGAGAATCTTTCGCTTGGACCAAAGGAGCGACCAAAGGAGCCAAGAGGGTTGCTTAGAGTTCACAGGAATCCAAACAAGTTGCTACAAGACGAATTAGATAAGCTGAAGAATATCTAATGGCGTCTGGCTCACGAACTCATACAGTTACTCTTCCAAAGGTAACAGACCGACCACCAGCAACAACAGCAACACCTGGAGCACCTTTGTTTGAAGATCAAATCAGGACGTATAGAAGAGATCAACGAAGGAAATCAGGACGTATAGAAGAGAACAACGAAGGAACCATATTCTCCAACGAAGAACACGGGATGTATTCCAAAGAATACGAGGACGATCCTCAACATCACAGGGTTTTGCTTTATTTAAAGGTTTGTCGTAAAGCTTGAATGATTGTGTAAAAGAATCTCACTTTTGCTAAAGTTTGATTCTGCTTTATCTAAAGGTTGAATAATTGTGTAAAAGAATCGAGAGGCCATTCATACAACCGGAAAGTTTTGAAGAACTGTGGAATAATAGGCGAAGATCCTATGAAGCAATGGTCGAAGAACACTTGAACATGGGATTCATGTAGGTGCAGGAGTAATTGATCCAGACTATCGAGGCGAGGTTAAGGTTTTACTCTTTCCAAACTAGTAATAAACGAATACCCAGACTAATATGCATAATCTTATTCTAATCAATAATAAATTATGACAAATATTTGGGAACAAAATATAAAGGAATGGTATGAGAAGTTGTTCTAACTTCTTTTCATACTTGAACTAATACTAGACACAGCCTTTTATAGAGAAGGTTTACACATGACATCCACCGATGGTCATCATAGTATTAGGTACTATGTAAACCATTTGAGTGCCACACAAGCCTTCGAGATCAAGATGGATTTCATTCACAGATTATATCACGGGCTTAGGCATTGAAGCCCATATAATAACCAAGGTGGCCAATTTTCCTGAAGAAACCCTGAAGGAAACTAAGGGATTAAGGTCTTGGTTGGGCTTACTCAACTATGCACGCAGCTACATTAAAGATTTGGGCCGAATGTTAAGCCCACTTTAATCAAGGAAATCAAGAGACGAATCCAAACTCTACCTAATCTATCAATACCACCTGAGAGATGCGTCATTATCCTTGAAACAGATGGCTGCATGGAAGGATGGGGAGGAATATGCAAATGGAAGAAGGCATTAAAGGATCCTCATTCAACTGAAAGAATTTGTGCTTATGCAAGTGGAAAATTCAATCCCATTAAATCCACGATAGATGCTGAAATCTATGCATGCATAAATTCTCTTGAAGCATTCAAGATTTATTCGAACTCCACCCTGAATATTATAGCCATGATGGAAGAAGGGGAAACTGAATACCCACAAATAAAGAAATTGGAGCAGCTTATTATGAAGCAGCACCAACCATGCCACCAGTCCGGTATGATCAGAACGATAACGAAGTCATGAATTCTGATGATGATCGTTGCCTTGTCCCTACTGGAGTAGCACTACAAATTCCATATGGCATGTATGGAAGGATCGCACCTTTTGCTCCCAAATTTGAAGATAAATATCCAAGGCTGATGAAGTATTTGCAGAACTGTGGAATAATAGGCGAAGATCCTATGAAGCAATGGTCGAAGAACCAAATCACATGCTTGATCTCCAGTCCACCTTGTATCTCGGAGTACTAGAACGGCCATGTTTCCTTGCTCAGTTCTATGCAAGACTTGGAATCTACAGACGCCATTAGATATTCTTCAGCTTCAGCTTATCTAATTCGTCTTGTAGCAACTTGTTTGGATTCCTGTGAACTCTAAGCAACCCTCTTGGCTCCTTTGGTCGCTCCTTTGGTCCAAGCCATGAAAGACATGCTGGAAACGTAATTGGAGTTGCACCGAGGATACTGTTTTCTTACAAGTATCTTGAAGCTGAATGCAAAAATGCTGCTTTCCAGAAGTCCCTTAGAAATCTGGAATTTTGTAAGGAGATTCCAATTCCAGGTTATTATAAGGAGCCGGAACGAAAATATGGCATTCGCAAAGCAACAACATACAAAGGCAAGCCACATTCTTCTCATGTACGAATCGACAAAAGGAAGTATTTACAAAAGTCAAAACATTGTAAATGCTATCTTTGTGGTGAGGAAGGCCATTATGCTCGCGACTGTACTAAAGACAAGAAAAATGTCAAGAGAGTTGCAGTCTTTGAAAATCTCGGTATACCAGATGATGATGATGTCATCTCTGTTCAACCAGGAGATGAAGATTCAGACGCAATCTATTCAGTATCAGAAGGTATCGAAGATACGGAGCAAATTGGTGGAGGCCTTATTGAAACTATCTCTTGTCACCATGGGAGATGGTAATGAAGGAACACAAAATATTCTCTCACAAATGAGAACTGTGTTCACTCTAGAAGACCCATATCAAGGCTCGACACTGATGCAGGAAGAAGCCTACAGGGATCTTGAACGACTATCTTGTCGGGATGTTAAAGATATAATCAAATTTCTAAATGATTATTTACATCTTGCTACAAGATCAGGACGTTTATTTGTTGGAGAAGAATTGTCGGAAAAATTATGGTCAAAAATGCCTGGAGATCTTGGAGAAAGGATTAAGAAGGCATATCTTCTTCTGTACTCCTGTAATCTCGAGTTCGACAGTAAGATTGTATAACATGTTCTTCTTCTTCTCCTTGACTTCTCCTTTTGCAATTGTCTCCATCATTAGGATTTGTTCAGAGGCTTCTGCTTCGGCTTGTAACTCTTGTAACTCTTCAGCCTTAAATTTGCCTTTTCCTCGAAGCTCTTGTTCATCCTTTTCCAGTTGGATTGTGAGTTTAAGCTCTTCCAGCTCTGTTTTATACTGGATTGCTTCTTCTCTTAATCGTTTCATTTCTGCCTCGCACCATCTGATATACTCCTGTTGCTCCTGGAGTAATGGCTTCTGGTTATATGGAATAGGAGGCTTTTGCATAACAAACTAGACGAATCCAAACTCTACCTAATCTGTCAATACCACCTGAGAGATGCGTCATTATCCTTGAAACAGATGGCTGCATGGAAGGATGGGGAGGAATATGCAAATGGAAGAAGGCATTAAAGGATCCTCATTATCAGAACGATAACGAAGTCATGAATTCTGATGATGATGACAGTACCAGTGCCGTTCATCGTGAAGCTGAAACTCACACCATTGCTGTCGGATGGGACGATGATCTTAATCTATCCCAATCTTTCACCAAGATTCAGTTTGACAATACTCCTCCACATTCTGATGATGAAGAGGATACTCCACTAAACTTTGATCCTTCTTATCAACCTCCTCCAGACGTGGAAACTGATTATCCCCAGCCTTTGCGCACAAACATTGAATACCTCAATGTTTTAACGGAAGGTGGAGAGACATCGCAGCAGCAGCAGCAGCCGACAACGACACAAAGGATCATCTCAGACAACTCTAATTCTGATGATGAACTACATTTCAAGGCACAACGGCGACGAAAACAAACTCATGTCAGACAGAATTTTCCATGTCCATATAAACACTGTCGTGAAAAAGGCATGATAGAATATGAAGGAATTCAGAGTGTTCATTTTGTAAAGCTATGTCCAGAAGCAAAGATGCCCTCAAGAGCAACTGACGGAGCTGTTGGGTATGATCTTAGTTCAACTACTAAGATGCTCATTCAACCACAAGATCGTTGCCTTGTCCCTACTGGAGTAGCACTACAAATTCCATATGGCATGTATGGAAGGATCGCACCTCGATCAGGATTAGCACTTGAACATGGGATTCATGTAGGTGCAGGAGTAATTGATCCAGACTATCGAGGCGAGGTTAAGGTTTTACTCTTTAATTTCGATATGAAACTTTTCCAGATTCAACCTGGACAACGGATTGCCCAGATTATTTTTGAAAAAGTCGCACTTCCAAGGATGGTCCAACAAGATGGTCTCTTGGGCACTACAAGAGACACCAGTGGTTTTGGTCATTCAGGAATGGCTTCGGAGCCTAGGGATTCGGATTCTGATTCGAACTCCACCCTGAATATTATAGCCATGATGGAAGAAGGGGAAACTGAATACCCACAAATAAAGAAATTGGAGCAGCTTATTATGAAGCACCAGAAGAAGAACCCTCAGTATGTTCTATCATCATCAACAGCTGTTTCTAATTACAGTCCCCCGCAGGATACAATGATGGGTCCCCCCGGATATCCCCCAGCAACTGGACAAGGACCAATTAACATCCCTCAAAGACCCACATATGATGGACAGTCCAGGTTCAATTTCAGAAGGGATGATAAAAGTGAATGGTGGAATCTACCGTCAGCCATGCATCCAACCGGCGCCATGTTTATAATACCACACCAACTTGGCAAGTTCGATGAGGTATTTATGAGATGGGAGTCTATTACAAAGGCACATGTCTCTATGCAAGGGTTTACTGATGCAAGAGATAAAATTCAGTTCATAGAGAATATGTTGGGAGAAACAGAAAAGCTCATATGGACTCAATGGCGTATGAAGTATGATGCTGAATTCAATAATCTTGTCACCATGGGAGATGGTAATGAAGGAACACAAAATATTCTCTCACAAATGAGAACTGTGTTCACTCTAGAAGACCCATATCAAGGCTCGACACTGATGCAGGAAGAAGCCTACAGGGATCTTGAACGACTATCTTGTCGGGATGTTAAAGATATAATCAAATTTCTAAATGATTATTTACATCTTGCTACAAGATCAGGACGTTTATTTGTTGGAGAAGAATTGTCGG